CGCGCGGCCCGCGTCTCCCTCACAGATTCAGCTCGCGTGTTGGCCCGATTGCAGCCCGCGAGCAGCCCACCTCAACTGCTCGCTTCCCAGGCCCAAGTGCGCGTCTTCTCGGCCCAATAGCGATGCGTCCGTGGCCCAGTTGCACCCAAGTGCGCGGCCCAGTTCGTGATTCTTCAGCCCAGTGTGTTGTGCACGGCCCAACATCATCTTGACGCGGCCCAGTTGGCGTTGCTTCAGCCCAGCGAGCGAGGTTCCAGCCCAGCGCGTCCAAGTGTGCCCAGATCGCGACCAACAGCATCAAAACCGGCCTAGACACGTCAGTTCGGTCCAGGACACGTCCAGCAAGCTTCGAATCGGTTCAACTCGGTCCAGAAGCCCCGGTTCGAGTTCAAGATGGTTCCCAAGCGGTTCGAGTAGTCCGATTCACCTACTGAAGGTCCGAGATGATCCGATGAGCTTGATAAGTGATTGGAGCACCATGGTGACTCGATTAGAATTGAGAAAGGCCAAGTCTAGCTGTCCATTAGACTTTGGTGTTCAAATGATCTCCATCAACGGAAATCAGAAACGTCTCAGAGTCGACAAAAATTTTAAACCGTATGTCCTAATCCTAACTATAGATTCCGTTGCGTTAGGATTTATTATTCAATAGATTTGAATGTGCACATTGTCGACGTTCCTAATAGAACCCAACACTACATTAAGTCATGATTCCTACAATCAATATCTATCTCGACTTAGACGGAGAAACACAAATCAGACTTAGTCGAACTTGATTCGACTAAGTTATTCGTGAAGTCCTGTGGACGTTGGAACACTTAGACTCGACAATACACTCAACCAAAATATACATAGGAGTTCACATAAGTCAAACTAACGATTAACCAAGTCAAACAACAAGAAACGAAAAGCTAGCCAAATTACAGTTTTTAACTCAAAAATTATATTTCTAATTTATTAGACAAATCACAAAATTAAGTTGATCTAGTCGCCCTATGATTTGTACTCTGAAATTTTAACCAAAAATACATCTCCCATTACTTAAAAAAACCACCATATTTCAGCCTCAAATCCAAAGTACATGATTTTATAAAATTCAAATACGATACCAGCAAAGATGGGCATAAAATTCAAAGCCCAACCTAACGAACGAATTAGCACATGAGATTTTTACTGGAGCAAGTTCAGCGATTAAGGATCCACATATAAAAATTTGAGCAATTAACATCAATTACACAATTTATGAAAATTCATATGTTTTTCTGCAGTTTTGAAGTTAAATTAAAACAGGAACATTTTGAACTCCAAAAATTACAATCGTTTTAAAGCATGAAAGTACACATAAAAGAAGCATCTCAGCCAAAAATCAGAATTTTCCATTAACTAACCAATTTATCATAATTAAAACGTCTTTCTGCAGAAATCGTAAACAGATTATTTACCCTATCCATTTCAGTCCAAAATTCTTAAAATTTTACACAAGGCATATATCCGATAGGGAGACAATATATTAAAAGTTAATCAATTTTGGAGCACGGACCGATTTATTATGAATTTAATACGTTTCTGCCCAGAAAACACTTCAATTTTTAAAAATAGCTACAAGCCGTGCAAAATTATGAAAATTTTACACAAGCTATAATACCAACAGAGGTAAATACAATAAAAATTTCATAGCATTCCGATCAGTATGCAATTTTTAAAAATTCAAACACCAAAACAGTGAACATACGAATTCGATAAATTCACATTCGACTCAAACATATATTTCTCGTCCGAGGCCATCTCTTAAGGCCTAGACCTATTCCAATATCCACAGTCTTACACATTTTTTGAGGTCCCACTCGACCCCTCAAAGTCGAGGAGGTCCACGAAACACAACAACACGAAATCATTTAATTACATAACACATTAACACGAACGTTTAATCGCAAGGGCTCGCACAACACGTAATTTAAACACATATACAACCAATATAAACGATATAATGAGACGAGGTTCGACTAGGTATCGTTCTCGGGAAAAACAAAGAAACGGGACGTAGGGGACGAACGGGGCTCGACGGATAACACGCGACGAATGAAACGACACGACTCGGGACTGTACGAACAGCGGCGGTGGATGGGACCTTATCTTACTCGCGATGGGAACAACGCAGCGACGGAGGTTACGGGCTCGCCGGACTGGTTCACAGCGGTACAACTCGCCGGTTGTTGGCCTGCGCGGAGAAGGGCTCACCGGGAACTTGTTGGCCGAGAGCACCGATCATGGCGGGGCCTGACACGAAGGAGGTCGCTGGAGTTGCTGCGCGACGTGGGGGAACAGCAGACGGTGGTCGAAGGCGCTGCGCGTGGAGAGGGAGCGGCGGTTGAGCTGCTGTTCGCGGCTGGGACAACGGAGAATGGCCGGAATATGATGGCCTGAACTTCTCGCACGATGATTTATCGCAGGCGACTCTGGACTTGAGCGTTAATTCGCACGGGGACAATGATGGTGGAGAGGCACGGTGACTTCGCGACCAAGAAAGGGTGGTGATCGGCTTGCTGGTCGCGGACGTCGTAGGGAAAGTAGGTATGGAGACGGGAAAAATTGCAGAGGGAGAGGGGAGAGATTGAGGAGACGAGCAGAATTTTCTTTTTCTGTTCGAATGGCGAGAGAGAGAGATTCGTACGAGAGGTTAGGATTTCTCTAATCTGCTCGGTTTTTAAGCGAAATACTAAAGAAATTTTGGGGCGAAATCAGCAAGAGTTTAATGGGCCGAACTAACTTGTAATTGGGTCGAAAATTCAATTCACAAATTTGGGTTTGGGGGATTAATTCGAGCTGGGCCAACGTCAAACGAAAGGTTCGGGCCAAATTATTTAATTCGAACAGTCAAATTGGGCCCAAATAATACTAGCAATAATGATCCGAGAATTAAAACCAAATTGGCCGAGCCCATGGCCGGAATATTTAGCTCTTTTGGGCTGGAAACAATAAGGCTCGTTTCTGGGTTCTCGGGCTTGATTTATTCCGACAATAAAACTCACTCGATTGGTCGCACGACAATTCAAATAAAATTCGGATAATATTTATATATAAAATACACACACTAATTATATAATAATAATGTTACACATTTAGACATTTAATGATGATGATGATGATGATGATGATGATGATGATAATCGCAAACAATAAATAATAATAATAATAATATTAATAATATTAATAATATTAACTATAACAATTATGAAATAATAAATTAATCCAATTTTTTAATAAACGAACGGGGCGTTACATGTTCATTTGGAAATGTGAGTTGTGAAACGATATGAATTGATCAGAGAAAAAAATTCCCCACGATAAACTATCTTGTGTTTGTGTGAAAATGAAGAAAAAAAATAAAGATAGAAAGATTGGGTAGGGTTCGGTGAAAGGATAGAGAAGAACGTTTGCCCAGCGATAAGAATAATTTTTGCCATTTTCCAAGTCTTAGCTCCTAAGACAAATTAAACGTTGTCAATTTGTTCTGCTAGAGACCAAAAGGGAAGGGAGGAAATTTCGATAAATTAATAGAGGAATACATCTACTTGCCTCACATTCTGCCACATGTCAAGCCTAGAATTGCCTTACATTTTTTCTTATAAGAGCATCTACAATGCATTGGGTCTAGTCTTGCCAATGTGACATATAAATAAACCCAATAAAACAATTTAAAATTAACAAAATCCACTCCAATACAAAGAGACTATGTCTGTACTTGAGTCTAAAATGAACTTCGGGTAGACTGGGTCTATTTTTCTGGCTGCCACATCATCAGGACCCAGTATACTTTTATTTGCATTAGAGGATATGATTTTTTAGACTGATTCTTTTTCTTAAGGTTATGTTTGGTAAAACTAGCTGATTAGATAGTTGATAGCTGATAAGCTAGTTTTAGCTTATATGTAATTTTTGAGCTTATAACTTATAGATGAAAAGCAAGCTTATAAGATAAAAGTGTTTGGTTAAATTAGCTAGATAAACTAGCTGAAATAGAAAGATTCAACTAGCTGAATTGAAAAGCTATCTAAAGTAGCTTATGAGATAAGCTCGTCCTACCAAACGAGACTTATTTGAACATAGAGAGCTTATAAGCTAACCAAATAAGCTATAAGTTAGCTTATTTGGCTTACCAAACATAACCTAAGTGACATAAATTTTATTGTTGAACTCAAAACATTGTGGATAATCAATTAGAGAGATATAGATGGATGGTCATTTATGCTATGTTTGGTAAAACTAGCTGATAAGCTAGCTGATAGCTGATAAGCTAGCTTATAGCTTATATGTAATTTTTGAGCTTATAGCTTATAGTTTATGACTTATAGCTGAAAAGCTAGCTGAAATATAAAAATTTAACTAGCTTATTTGAAAAGCTACCTAAAGTAGCTTATGGGATAAGCTCTAGCTTTATAAAAAAGCTCGTCCTACCAAACGAGACTTATTTTAATATACGGAGCTTATAAGCTAACCAAATAAGATATAAGCTAGCTTATTTGGCTTACCAAACATACCCTTAGTGACAAGAACAAACAAAAAAAAGAAAAAAAAAAACTAGTTTTTTCCCATCAAAGTGCATTCAAGGGTGGTCCGTGGTCGCGTAGAAATGTAAGAAAATGAAAGAGTCACAATTGCCTATTTATACGCGCAAATACTTAGGTGTAACATGTTCATTCTATTATGTAACATGTTCATTTTAAATTGTGTTGACATACGTGACAGACACACGTGCCAGGCACACAATAGTAGCACTGATTTATAATGTGCCTTTTTTGGTTTTTATTGGATAAAAAAAAAATAAAAAAATTGCCACTAGAAATATTGCTCCAGGCTGCTTTTGCGACACGAAAACGTGCTCTTTTTTACTTTTACTATCCTCTCCAAAAATTTTAGCCCTAATTTGTAGGGTTCTTCTAGCTCTCGATTCGCTGCAGTTTACGCGTTTGCTCGATCGCCCCTTTTACACCGCAACCACCATGGACGTGACCCCAGGCGATCTCGACGCTCCGCACTCTATGGGTACAACAATCATCGGCGTCACTTACAACGGCGGCGTCGTCCTTGGCGCGGACTCACGCACTAGCACCGGTGAAATTTGCCTCTTCTTCTTTTTTTTTTTTTTTTTCATTTATTTTCTTTATTCTATGCTGGGTTTGTTGCGATTACGAGTTTTGAAGCAAATGCAACCTTGTAGGGATGTATGTCGCCAATAGAGCATCAGATAAGATCACCCAGTTGACAGATAATGTCTATGTCTGCAGATCCGGCTCGGTGAGGATTCAATTCATTGTTTTTCTCATTTAGGTTCCTTAAATGATAACCTTCTGTTTCGTTAGAAATTGGTATGTTGAGGGATGGGAACATTAGGTAAAAGGAATTTGAATGGGGGAAATGGTTGATTGCTTTCAATCTTGAATTTTGGGGAGTTGCGATATGTTTGTGCTATATGGTTTTATGTAATGCATCTGTTAATCAAAGGCCACTGGTGGGATGTTTGTTGGCAGCTTACCGAGTTTGTTTACTGGGTCATGTGGAATTATACGAATTTTTCTTTGTATTTTTTATCAGGCAGCGGATTCGCAGATTGTATCAGATTATGTGCGTTACTACCTTCATCAGCACACGTAAGTCTCTGAAAATTTATTATCTTTTATCTCCTTACGTATCATTAACATGTGTTATTGCCATGCTTGTGTTTTCTCTGTTTTAAACTATTTGACTTCTTATTTTGCGAGCAATTTTGTTTTTGATGGTATTCGAAACCCGTTTACAACATTGTTTTTCTATATGCTTGGTTCTGTGAGCTTTATTTGGTAATGTATTCTGTTTTTGCTCATTGATGAGTAAATAAGAAACTGAGCTGAAATTAAGCTACCATTTATCATTTGGAAGCAAGCATGCTACTCTTTTGGTCAATTGCGTCTGTTTAGGTGTATTAGTAGTTGATCTCAGGAAGTGGTTCATATCTCTCATTAGAGTCCTTCTTGAGGAAGTTGATGAAATTAACTCTTATTTTGTGTACAGGATACAACTTGGGCAGCCTGCTACCGTGAAGGTTGCTGCAAACCTTGTCAGATTGTTGGCATACAATAACAAGGTTTTTGATAAGTTCTTATCTCCTACCTATGACTGAGTCAGTAACCTTAAATTTTGTTATTGCTTAAAAGAATCTGGTAGATCCATAGATGTGTATTGAAGAGGTGTTTGATAAACATAATTTATCAACATATATGTTTATTGCCTATACCTTCTATGTAAGAATGTTGCGCAGCCACTAGACTGGCAGTTGATCTGTTTATGATCCATTGGATGCTCTTTAAGACAATAGAAACATACAATATGACAGCACTAGTGCTATTAAATTAAACGAGCTTGGCTCGACTCGTTAAGGGTCGTCTTCGAGGCCTTAACAAACCGAGCTCGAGCTCATTTGAAGCTCGTTTGGTTAACAATCGGCTCGATAAGGCTCATAAAGAGAATTTTTATATGATCTTTTATAGCTCGGCTCGTTAAAGCTTGAGCTCAGCTCGTTAAGGCTTGAGCTCGAGGTCTTAACGAGCTGAGCTTGGCTCGGCTTGGCTTGTATACAGGCCTAGACATCACCGGAATATAATCGCCTTTAAGGAAATTTTCCACAGTGGGTCCATGCATTATTGTTTCGTTGGAAGCATGCTGATTTCTTCATTTTGCAGAATAACCTCCAAACTGGTCTGATCATTGGTGGATGGGATAAGTATGAAGGGGGTAAAATCTATGGAGTACCACTGGGAGGAACAGTTTTAGAGCTGCCTTTCACCATTGGAGGTGTGGACTTAGTGACTAGTGAATTATGTCTTATTCAGTTATTTGCAGAAGTAAAATTTACCTTTGTGTATCTATTTTCTTCTAGGTTGTGTGACAAATATCGTTGTAACTCAGGGTCTGGCTCGTCTTATCTATATGGTTTCTTTGATCAAGAATGGAGGGAAGGGATGACTCGAGAAGAAGCTGAGGTTTGTATATCAATTCATACATTTTTGGTTCTTTTATACCCAACCGTCTCAGAGATAATGGCTAATTTTATATGTTTTTTCAACCTCATCAGCAATTAGTTGTGAAGGCAGTCTCTCTTGCCATTGCTCGTGATGGTGCCAGTGGTGGTGTTATCCGGACTGTGACCGTGAGTTGCTTTCTCGTCACTAACTATGCTCTCCTGGATAAATTATTGTTGCCCATCAATTAATTGGAATTCTGAGTTGATTGAAGTGGGATCAATCTTGATTCCACCACTTGAATAGAAGCATTGTGCCTCATCAGCGCATAAAAAATGTCTTATTTCTTATCATTTATTTTCACCTCGGGTTTTTGCCTTGTTAAGTCAATAGTACGGTGGACAGGTGCAAAGCTTCAGTCCTCTCATTACTCGATCTGATTGCAATAGGAATGTAGTAAATTTTTGTGATGTTTTGATTGACATAATTAACTTGCCCGGAAGCTTTAGGGCAAACGTTTCCCCAGGGTTTGATTTCTCCCTAATTTCTCATTTATTGAAATCTTCCTTCTGCAGATTAACAAAGACGGAGCTACTAGAAAGTTCTACCCAGGCGACAGCCATCCTCTGTGGCACGAAGAACTTGCGCCCCAGTATTCTTTGTTGGATTCTATGCCGGCTGCCAGTCCTATGATCAGCTAGATGCAAGTTGTTTTCGAATATTTATTTGCAACTACACAATGTTAGTTGCTATCATTTGGTGCTGTTGAGTACTGTTTATTATGTTGAGTACTTTGTTAATTTTATTGTTCTTGTATGAACTACTGCTTTTCTGTTGTTGAAACTTGCATTTGTGACTATGCTTTCTCAGGAAACATGATCATTTTTTTTTCCTCAAATGATATTAAGCATTAGATTTCACCAGGCAGTAAATTTACAGCAGCACCCCTTGGAATTACATAACTGTCCAAGGGGAAGTTACTATTTTTTGGTGAACAAAAAATAATAACTATAAAAATGGTGAGCCAAAATAGTAATAACCAACTCTAATGTAATAGTAAAATAGTACAATCATAATCGCTAGTTATTAATATGTACTAGT